AGGCCGCGATGATTATTCAGAGATGCCGCTTGCACATGCCCATGCGATCGCGCGCGTTGGCCACGCGCGCAGACGCCGCGGCAAGGCGCCTCCAAATCCAGCGCTGCTCAGTATATAAAAAAGCCTGCCCTCTGCAACGTGGACGTGAGAAGTGCCCCGGGCTGGTGAGAAACATCGGGCGGGGCCTCGCGCGGCAACTCCGCCAACAGAACCGTCGCAGTACCTGCGCGGATCTCGTCGGCCAGAACCCCGCGTCAGCTCGCGACGCACGTGCTTCCTGGAAACGCGCGCCCTGCTGCCAATCAAGCGACCGCCTTGCCAGTCAAAAAGAAAAGGAGGGTTGATTAGATATGCGAAGAGAGCGCCGGCGTTCCACGCGCGCCGAGCGAGCGGTCGAGAGGGGCGATTGACTCCATCAGCAACAATACCCAGGGGCGGGGAGACTTGCGACGGCTTGCCGGTTTAATGCGTAATGGTGTAGCTGTCGCGTGGATGCGGCCTAATTGAACTCTCAGGCGACGAGGAACATGTCCCATCGAACCCCTGATCATCCAAGCAGCTGTCGGGCTCGCCTACAAGGACAATCTTCCCGCAGCGAGGCCTGCGCGCGGCGCATGCTGCTCGCCCCCATGCCTCCTCCAAGCCTACTCCGTCGATGTAGCAGTGCGCGTGTCCTGCCACCTGGGCCGTCATCGACGATCGAGACAGCCTTTGCCGCCCGCGCGCAGATCGAGCTGTTCTTCAAAGGCGTAAATGTTACCTCCAAGCCCCGTCGAACCGACTGCATCACGTCTGGAAATGTTCGCCACGCCCTGTCTCGCAATCCCTGGGCACGAGCAGAGATCCCGAAGTGGTCGGCGGGAGGTCGAATCGCGCGCGGAGCTTGGGATCAGCTCCGCCCTCTGGGTACGGGGGCGAGAAGGGGACCTCCGCCGCCGACGTCGAATCGTTAAAAATAGCGTGCGTCGTCTGGGGGATGTCGAAACACAATCATGAAACAATTGAACGCCTCACCTGCCTGTAGGGCATATCTGCGGGTAGGGGGCGTGTCGGGACGATGGGCCCTGCCATCTGATGCAGGGCCGGTTCCATCTGGGACCCCTTGAAAGCCAGTGCCGCGAGACCAGAAGGGTTGCCAACGTCGCCGTGTTTAGCGCGACGCCGAGCCTGCCGAGAAAAACCAGCACTGCCCTTCGGAGTCGCCACCCACTCTGCGCTTTCCTTCGCCATCTTCCCCACCTCCCCCAGATCCTCCTTGATAACATGAATCCTCACCATCGTCTCTGTCTTCAAGTATCGTTCCTAAATCGCTTGAATTTTGAACATCTGCAGCAAGGCCTGTTCCCATGGAGCTTTCTGTTGTGACCAATCAGCACGGGCGTGTTGTACAGTCTGGAAGTTACTCCCGGCTTGCATGCATGTCGCGTGGTACCCTGAATTCGCCAGCTCATACATGCAACAGCTCACTGGAGCTGGCTCGTCACGGAGTCAACTGCTGCCGAAAGGAGGCTGGACCAAGTCTTTCACGACCGCATGCATGCCATTGTCGGTACCTGCGGGCGCGGCGCTTGCGGTGCTCGCTCCACTGGCACTGACTTCGCTTTCCACAGGAATGACGTGGCGCAGCGCCTCGATGGAAGGAGGCGGAACAAGGGCGCGCGCATGGGGGAGAACGGCCGCCGAGGGCAAAAGGGGCGCGGCCTCGGCCTTCCTTTGGTTGATGGCCACCTGGCAGTTCGAGAGAAGCTGGGATGTTAAAGTGGCGACAGAAAAGGAGGATGAAGATGATGATGAGGAGTAGGAGTAGGAGTTGGAATCGAGTAAGGAGGCGGAGGAGGAGGAGGAGGAGGAGGAGGAGGAGGAAGAGAACGGGGAGGAGGAGGAGAAAAAAAAAAGGACAGGACGAGCCGGAGAACGCGCACAGTTCATGGACAGTCAAGGAGATCTTGCTTTTAAAAAGAGAGGGTCTGGCAATAATAGAAACCACTCGAAGCTATAAGGTTCACATTCTTCGCTACGGAATAAAGAAGGCTTGGGCGCCCCAAGTGGGCTGCGTCGTGGGACGCGTCTTGGAACCCTCTTTTCGGCGCCATCAGGGCCTTTCTGGGCCGACGGGGCCCTTGCCCAAGACCCCCGACTCTTCGAACCTTCAGATCCGTCGAATCGATGACACGATGTTCCCACCTTCGCCTGTTAGGTCTTCACAGAATCCGACTAAGCGCAACAAGCCACCAACGTCGCCCCGATGCTGCCCCGCGACGGACCCTTCCTTCCAAGACCGTTCTCCTTCGACCGCCCCCAACGTCTTCGATATTCGCTCGACTCTCAGGACAATTCAGCATTCCGCACGCGAATCATTCAAATAACCTGGTTCTGACGATGTGGCGGTCAGACTCACGTCGACTTCCGGCGCTTGCCGCCGCCAAACGGGCTCAAGGGCCCAACATGTCACCAAAACTGCCCCAGAAAGGATGCAAAAAGCCACCATTCTCCCTGACAGGGCACGGGGCCTCTGCAAGGCGGATCCAGAGGCTCGAAAACATGGGTGGCGTAGAGCTCGTAAGCATTGGTTCCAAGACCGATGCAAAGCCATGACGCTCCAAAGGACGGAATTTCCAGCTAGACGGCAACGGCCTTCGTGCGATTTCCTCTGCGATCTCCTCGACCATCCTCCACTGTCCTGCGCAGCTGCAGCCTGGTCGGACCCGAACGACGGAGTCCTGTGCACGACGAACTTGTCAGTTCCGCCTGCACGGCTCTCTCTTCCTCTCTGTCTCTCTCTCTCTCTATCTTTCTCTCGCTTTCTGTTTTTTTTGTTTCTATCTCTCTCTCTCTCGAGGATGGCCATAATATGCGCTATACACAGCCACCAGAGATGACGCCAACAAATGCAACAAAAGGTCCTTTGATGGATGGCAGAGCGTTAAGCGAATGGCTGGACCGGAGAGGTCATCACGAGCGCGCAGACCCAGAGACTTCTTGGCAAACCACATCACCATCGCTCGGACGTCCACTCCACAAGCGCATGTTTTGACGTCGTGCGCTCATCTCTTCGAGGGCTGATCCGAGATGCCCCTCGTTGGCCCTCGCCGAGGAAAGCAAAACACGTCCGAACGATGCCAAACCACGCGGCAAATCGATGTCACCCAACGGGGGACCCTACAAAACTCGATGCGCATACCCACAGGGGGGCCCAACGCTCCTCCCGCCGCGCAACTGTGGGCCAACGGGGAGGCGCCCTCGGGGTGCGCGGCAAACCTGGCCCGAGCACGTGCACGAAGAAGACACGGTGCGAGGCCTGGTGCTGCTCCCGTCGTGCTTGCAGACCACAGCCCAGAACGAATTTCGAGCACACAAAAAAGTGCCGAGCACGTGTCGAACGAGTATCGCCTCCCAGGGCCCGACACGTGAACACCCTCAGGTTTCGGTACTTTCTTGGTGCTCGAACTTCTCTCTGGTGATCAAGGCTAGAATAAGTTGGAACATCATAAGCGAAGACATGGAGCGAGCAGCGGTACGAGACCGAGGAACGAGAGGGTGACAAGCCCTCCCCTAACCTCCCACCTCTCATCTCTTCTCTCCGGGTGTATATACTCGCCCTCGATTGGCGGTGAGCCCAGGGCAGAAGTGAGAAGGGGCGGACCTTCTCAGAAGGAGGCTCGGAAGACCTCGGGCCTTCTGAGAAGTGTTCTAAGCCTTCCCCGAAGACACAGAAAACTTCCAGGAAGGCTGGGGGAGATTCTGAGAAGCTCCGCCGCCTTCTGGGAAAGCCTTTTCCCCCTCATTTCCACCCCCACCGCGCCGCCGACTCGAATCGTTTCCTGTCTCACCGGCCATCCTCCGCCGACTCTGCCAAGATCTCCACATGCGCCTCAGCCTCCACCTCGACCTCCACCCGCTGCTGACCAGCCTACTCCCGTTCCCGCTCCTCCTCCTCCACCTGCCCCAACCTCACCGTTTAGCGGAACAGGGGAGCTTGTGGTTCCCTCTACCGCTGACTGTTGCTTCAACTCCTCCTCCTCCTCCTCCTCCTCCTCCTCCTCCTCCTCCTCCCCCTCCTCCTCCTCCTCCTCCTGCCCCAGCTTCGCCTCCTGACTGCTGCTTCCCTCCCCATCCTCGTCCTCCTCCATCGCCTCCCATCGCCTGCCCTGCCTCGTGGTGTGCTGTGTCGGCTCGTCCGCCGACGTAGTCTGCGCTCTTCGCTCTGCTGCTCCGTCTTCTCGCCTCGTTCACCTCTCGCATCTCCTCTCTCCTATCTTCTCGCATTTGTAATTTCTCCACATACGTTCTACCACATGACATGAAGGGTTAACAACCATCGTCTATCATAGTTCGTCCCCTCTATCATCTCTCCTCCCCTCCCTCCCCGATATCGTATGCTGCCCTCCTGTCGTGCACGATTTGTCCTCCAGCCCCACCGTGCACTCCCCTTCTCTGTCCTCCCCCTCTCTCATACCCAAACTTATCATAGCACCTCTTGGTCTACCGAAGCATATCTCACAACCTATCTTCTCTCTCTATCTGCTTTATTCACCCCTTCGCTCTTCGCAAATTCTGGCCCCTCCATGATTGTATCATTGTCCACTCCCGCCCTTGCTCTGGACTAGTTTGTCCCTCCCGTCCTCCCTCACATCATGTCCTGTCCTGTCATGCAAGTTTGCTTTCGTGTTTGGAAACCTTTCCCGCCCGACTCTCCTATCACGTCTTCGCGCATTCCCAATGCTGCCCTTCCCTACGGCAAGTCCGTGTCGTGTCGGCCCCAGCGTTTGTTTCTGACACCGCAGGGACCGTCCAACCAAACGTCAGAATCGTTCAACATCGACCGATTCTGGGTCGCCGGCGGCGTTCAGCGTTGAACGCCAGCGGCGGGGTCGCCGCTGGTCGACCCGACGCGAACCTACCGTATCTGGCATTGTCTTCCCCCCCCCCTTGCTGAACAACATCCTCGTCGCAATGACTATTCATCTCTGCGGCGGCGCTGCAAAAGGCCAACTGGGCGCCTACGTGCTCGCTTGCCGATCTCCGTGGCACCTCGCTCTTCGGCGCGCCGCCTGTGCGGGTGCGCCACCGTGCAAGAGCCGGGCAGCAGGACGAGGAGACGGACGGTGAGTCGGGGAAGAGGGAGCGGCAGGGAGGACGATGTGGAGGAGAGGCTACACTAGAGGGAGGAGAGCGGCAAGAGAATGAAGGAGGAACATACTTGAGGTGGGGCTGGGAAAGTGTCGCAGCAGGAGGAAGCAACGGATAGCAGCAGGGAGGAGAGAGAGAGGAGGGGAACGATGAGGGAAGAAGAAAGAAGATGGATAACGAGGAAAAATGAGAAAGGGTGAGGAACGATGAGGAAGGACATCGATGGCGAACTTAGTGATTGTGGGACACCTATGGGAGTTTGTGGTATAATACGTAACACCCTGCAAATGCGGATAAGAGTGAGGGGGCAGTAGGGACGTCGGCAGTTCGCGAGACTTTGGAGAAGCTCGCCGCAGGCGCCAAAGTTTCACAAATTATGCAACAGAACCCGCCGCAGGCGCCAATTTTTTCGTTGAACCAAAGTGGGTAGGTCGCGGGTGGGTCGCAAATGGGTCGCGGGTGTAGAGGGCGGAAACTCCACCCCATAATAATCAGCCCGAGAAGCGAAGCCGTTTCTAGCAAACGCACACAAGAAGGAATCGAACAGGGCAGGACTGTTTAGTCAACGCCCAAGGCCGTTTAGTACACGTCAATTGTCGGGTCCGGGTGATTTTTCCTCCCTCGAGGGTGGGTCGCTGGGTGGGTCGCGGGTGGATCGCGGGGTGGGTCGCGGGTGGGTCGCGGATGGGTCGTGGGGGGGTCGCGGGTGGGTCGCGGGGTGGGTCGCGGGTGGGTCGCGGGTGGGTCGCGGGGGGGTCGCGGGGGGGGTCGCGGGGTGGGTCGCGGGGTGGGTCGGGGGGTGTCGCGGGGTGGGTCGCGGGGTGGGTCGGGGGGTGGGTCGCGGGGTGGGTCGCGGAGTGGGTCGAGAGTGGGTCGCGGGTGGGACGACGACAACTAAGAACAACAACAACAACAACAACAACAACAACAGCAACAACAACACCAACAACAACAACAGCAGGGGCAACACTGATAAAAACAACAACAACCACAACAACAACAACAACAACAGCAACAACAACAGCAACAACAACAGCAACGCAACAAGCAGAGTTCTTGACAAAAACCTTATTCAGCCACGTACGCAGGGACAATGAATGACCGTTTGGCCCCTTCACTATGATTAGTTTGCAGCGTTCGCCTCAGAACGCTGTGGTTCCTTAGTTTTCCACTGCGTTATTTTTGTTGGGGGGTCCAAGTCTCCACAGCAATTCGATGTTCATCGATTTCAACGTCAATGTGCGCAGCCGTTGTGTATAGTGTCCAAGTTCGTTCTTCTTGATAGTGTTCAGGTATGCCTCGCAACGTTGCGTTTGCATGGCCGTCTACGCGTAAGCTCTAGTATCCAGCAGTTAAGCAGGAACTGCAGAAAGGACGGGCTGCACGTTGTAGCGGACACCGAATAAATCTTCAACATATCCACCTCCCCAGGGCAAACGTTCGGACCCGCTCGTTTGGGACCATGATCGATACGTTTGCAATGCGTTTTCAAACGTTTGTAACCTCCATATCGGCGCAACCATCCACTTTCTTTCGTCTTCCTCTCCTCTTCTCCGCTATCCCTGCCGCATGCTCGATCGATTGCCTGGCCCTCCACGTCCTTTTCTCCTCCTCTCCTCTTCTCCGCTGCCCGAACTGCTGCTGCCTTTTGCTCCCTTGCTCTTAGAATGCCATCGCCAACATTCCGTGTACAAACTCTGTGCTCGCAAACTCGTTTGCGATAGGTTGAAGGGTGCGTTTGCATACCGCTTTCGACTTGAGCCCAATCAGTTTCATTGTTTAGCAAGTGATCGCCGCGAAAAAAAATCTTATCATAGTTGCATGGCTCAGATTTTTCATCTTGTTGAGGTCCACGTCGTCGACTAACAAGGCGGAACAACTGCAAACTGGAAGCAAACGCCCCGAGCGATTTCAAAAACCATGAAGTCGAGGGACAGTGGAGAAAGACGGAGGAGGAAAAACGAGTGCGGCCAGTTTTCCCACACTTTGCCACTCGTTTGTATGGCCCTCCCTCGACTCCTCCTCCTTCCCCCTCGAGCTGCGTCACACCGTTCGTTCCCTCAGGCTCCCTCCCCGTCCTCCTTCCCCTCCCAAGTCCTCCTCGTCCTTGCACCTCTCTATCTCTCACTTTCCCTCTCTTTCTTTCTCCCTCTCTTTCTCTCTCTCTCTCTCTTTCTCTCTCCCCGTCCTCTAAGCTCATCTCGCTACAGTGCACTCCTTCGCGCACGAACGTATGTAGTCCGAATCATCAATCTCGTGGATGTTCCTGATGTCTTCCGACCAGTCATTCGAGCACGTACATAGAATGCGGGATGACGGTTCATGAAAATTAGGGGGAACAACTAAAAAAAAAGTTCCCTTGATTTCTATATGACTTTTCAACGGGAGGAGGAAGATTAACACAGTTCTAGTACACGTCGGCTTCGAATATTGCGTCGAATACTCATTTCACGTCGTCGCCAAACTTCGCGCTGCTGTTGCTCCCGCTCCTTTATCCTAGACCCCCCTCCCTCCTAACCCTCCGCTTCGGCTCCGTCAGGTCCGTCGGCTGTCCGGGCGCGCGCCCGAGGACGGCAGGTGGGGGAGAACGATTAAAACAATAGTTTCCCAGACCGCGGCCGGTTTTTCTAATCATCCTCCTGGGCGCCGCCGACGCAACACGACCCCCCGTCATTTACTAATCGTCCTTCTACATTAACTATTGTAAATCGCCATCCTGCACATTCACGCTCCGACGAGGACGACGACGACGACGAAGGCCTAGCACCTAGCATGCCCTTCGGGGAGGAATCTGGCAGTCGCGACGAGAGCCCCAGGAGGCCCAGACGGGCCCAAACGAAGTGTACCACCACAATCGAACATCAAACGTGGATGCTCGGCATGACACGACAATGACGACGGGAATGGCGGCGGCGACGGCTTGGGATGAAGGACGCGGGTCCTGAGGGCAATGGTGAAGGGGCCCTGGGACACACAAATAAATACATACAAATAACAGGATTCCCCATAATTTCATATATTTTCTGGGTTTCTGTCTCACCCCCACTTCCCATATTTTCCAATATTTTCCTGGGGTTCGACGATTAATTGTGTCTGTGTGTTTTTTCCCCTCCAGAATCGTTTTCTGACAGTCCTGGGGCCTGGAGAGGGCCTGTGCGGGCTGAACACGGCCAAAAAATCCTCCGGAGCAGTTCTCCACAGGACCCTCTTGCTTCATGGCGAGACGCCGCCGACGCCGACGCCGCCGACGCTCCCAGCGCCGTCGACAGCGACGACGACGGTCGACGTCGACGACAGCGACGACGTCGTCGACGACGACTAGGGGAACGAAAAATGACATAAACATAAAAACTCGGAGGTCCGCGAGGATTTCTGGGAGCGGCGCTGGTTCCCCTCCCTGGCGCGCGGAGCGCGCTAGGGGCGGCGCCGGAGGTGCCGCCAGGGGGGTCCAGCGCCGATCCGGGAAATGCGCGCGGACCTCCGAGTTAGTATCTTTATGTTAGGTCGGGCATGTCCTCCTACAGGCGGATTTCGGGAAACAGTTGTCAAAACATATTCAAACATAGCTAAACATACTGAAAAAGGATCGTCCCCAGACTATTTTTTGACAATTTTTGGATCTTCCTCCTGTAGAGGGACATGCCCAAAATTAGCTTATGTCGCTGTCGGGGGCGCGCAAGCATGAAACAGCGATCCATGGATTTGGCGCGCGGTCGCCAAATCCATGGATCGGGGGAGGTGCCCATGCGGCCGGTGCCGCCTCGTTCGGCGGCGGAAGTCCGCGATCCCCATGGAAACGGGACCCGTCGCTAATCCACGCCCACTTGATCCATGTTTGCGATCGCCTGACACTGTTGGTTCCACTAACGATCGGAGGAGTCGGCTTGCAGGGGGATGCAGGGCGCGCGGGAGGCGGGCGAAGGCGTCGCCGGCGCCCCGCGCCCGCGCCAACGAGGAGCCGTCAGGTAGGAGGAATCGTTAGGTAGGTAGGAGGAGTCGTTAGGTAGGAGGAGTCGTTAGGCATGAGGAGTCTTCGTCGTTAGGTATCGTCAAGGGAATCCCTACTCCTCCTACCTAAAAACGACGACTCCTCCTACCTGACGACTCCTCCTACCTAACAGCGACGATTCCTCCTACCTAGCAACGGCGATACCTAACGACGACGACTCCTCCTACCCTTAGTTGGCCTGGAAACGACAGGGCCGTTTTTGTTACCGATTCCGTTTTGTCGTTTTCTTGCCGGTTCCGACGCCGTTTTTTTACCAGTTCTGTCGCCGTTGTTTGACCGGTTCCGGCTCTGGTTCCAATCCTGGAGCCGTCGTTTTGTCGTTTCCGGTCGCCGTTTCTTTGCCGTTTTCATTTTCAAGGGACATTGTTTGGAAACGGTGAAAAACGGCCCTGCCGTTCCGGGGCCCACTAAGCTCCTACCTAACGACTCCTCCTACCTCCCTAACAAATCCTCCTACCTGACGGTTCCTACTCGTTGGCGCGGACGCGAGGCGCCGGCTATGTCTTCGCCCGCCTCCCGCGCGCCCGCCTCCCCCTGCAAGCCGACCCCTCTGATCGTCAGGGGAAGGAGCAATGCCATAAAATTTGAAGTTGGGCATGTCCCTCTACATGAGGAAACAAACAACAATGAAACAGTTAAAAGGTATTCAAACATAGTCCCGATACCATGTTTTGTTGGGTAAGTTTTGAATGTTTGTTCCTCCTGCAGAGGGACGCGCCCAACATAAGATTCTGTCATGGCTCCTTCCCCCAACGACGACGACTGGGGTTAAGTCTGGCCTGCCCCCAGAGAGGAGGACTAATATATATATATATATATATATACATATATATATACATATATATATATAGAGATATATGCCTATATATATTATACATATCTATATAACTATATATGTACATAGTTAGAAACAAACAATGTACATTCAAGGTGTCGAACATTTCTGGAATATGTTTGATTATTTTGTAGGCATTTTCGCCAATCAGTGCCTGCACTGAAGGAGTCCTAGCGGAAAGTGAAAAATTCGGCGAACAATTCCCGCCGATGTTGGTGGCTTGCTGGGTTCCCGGTTCCGGGTTCCCGGGTTCCCGATAATTGCTTCCGGGCCGATCTCGGTGGGTTCTGGGTCCCCAGGCTCCCGGTCGAGCTCCTCAGCGAATACCATCCACTGATTGGGGTCTCTCTCTCTCTCTCACTCTCTGGAATACCCATCGGTCGGAAGAAGTAGGTAGAGACATGAAGTAGGAAGGCGATGAAGCAGATTGGGTCTCCGCCCGCCCCCTGAATAAGAGGGAAGAGCGGACGCCACTCGACCATTGCAGCAGGAAGGCGCTTTGAAGTAGACTGGAACCTGGGAATCCAAGAACACCTACTTTCAACGACCGATGGGCACTTTGGTTTTTCGTCCAAAATCCGCCCGTGAGAGGGACGTGCCCGACCTGGGACCGGCGGCGGGACGACGGCGGGCGGCGGGGCGCCTGCGTACTCGCTCGCCGCCCTCCGCGGCCCCTCGGCCACCGCGGCGCCGCCTCCGCCCGCGGGCGAGCCGCCAAGAGCGAGAGGGGCCCAGGGACATACAAACAAGCACACACTCACAAGTCCCAGGATCCCCCATGCTTCCACACATCTCTTTCCTGGGCTCTCAGCTCCTCTCCCTCTTCCCATGTTTTCCTATATTTTTCATAAACCTCCCTTTAGCAAACCTCCCATTCGTGAAAACGGCCTGGGACCGAAACCGACGGACCTGGGCCCGCAAACATGACGGCCGCGGCGCCCTCTCGCGAACCGAAGACGGCCAAGTCCTCAATCGACGCGTCAGGGTAGGAGGTCTGTCCACCCCCGAATTGTCCTGGGGGCCGACGATTCATTGTGTGTGTTGTTTCCTTCCGTCCTTTCTGGCAACACCATTCCACTTTCCCTGTGGGACCGCGCCCCCTGTTCCAGTCCATGGCGCACCTTTTCCTGTGCAAGATCTTCGGCACCGCCTGTTTTCTGAGCCCTCCGGCCGCCTGAGGCCCCGCCCGCCCGCGCCCTGTCTCCCTAATTAGGGCTACCCGCGTCCCGTTTAGCTCTTGACCGGAAGGGGCCCGCTCCCGACCCGCCGACCAAAAAAGTGTTTCCTTCCCTCCTGACAAGGAGCGCGAGCGCCGAGCACGGCCCCGCGAGGCACCTCCCGGGAGGCCCCGCGCGGCAGCTTTTGGGACCCTGCTTGCGGCAGGCTCCCGTCGTGAGGACCCTGGCGCTGGTTCCCGACACGTCGGGCTCACAACTGGCCATTGCTCGGACGTCCATTCCCTATGGTTTTTTCGGTTTCGTGCGTGATTTTTTCGCCAAATGATCAAGGATGCTCCTCGATGGTCCTCGCCGAAAGAAAAATCCACACGTCCGAGCGACGCCAAGACAAAAGGGTGGACGGAGGGGGCAAGGCCTCTTAGCTTCGGACGCCCGAAATGGGTGCGGGAAGAATGGGTACAATGCCCAACAACAAATGTTGTCCCAAACCAATAGCGGCCGCTTTTGGGCAGGCGGCCTTCTGTCTCGAATGGACACAGGCCGCGGCGGCGTGGACAGCGAATCCTGTTCAAAATGAGCAGGAACTGCTGTTGGGCATTGTACCCATTCTTTCCGTACCCATTTCGGGCGTCCAGATCTTAGAGGGAGGCTGCTTCTTGGAAGGCACCGGCCTTACATCCGTAGATGAGGCCCGCGACTTCTAAGAAGCAGGGGTGCTTCTGAGAAACCTTCACCCCTCCTCCCACCCCCACCTGCGTGTGGCTGAACCTCGCACGACTCTGGGCCGCACACGACGCCCAACGCTGAACGCCGCTGGCGGGGTCGCCGGCGGTTCACGCTGGTTCCGCCGCTTGCGGGGTCGCCCCCTCTGCGCGGGGCTGGCTCACGTCTTAACGGGCGAAGAACGGTATAAAATTATGTTTTTCGCTGTCGGGGGCGCCTGTGCCAGGGCGGCTGGAAAGTTTATACCCTTAAAGTGGCACCGTAGGGGTATAAACTCTCCAGCCGCCCAGGGACAGGCGCTTTCTCATTTCCCCCCCTCGCTCGCCGCCGACATGGTGTCGGAAATCCACCCCCAAACGGTGCGAAAAGTAGGGCGGCAATTCCCGTTTCAGGAGAGTTGGGCGACATTTCCGCAAACGCACGGTGCAAACAGCGACGGCAAGGTAGGGCGGACATCAGCATCAGAGGAACTTGAAAAGTAGGGCGTGGAATCAGGGTCCCTTCACCTTTGGACCTGCCCCTGGACGCGTGCGGGGGGGAAGTTGGACGGGAACCCAACCGAAGCGACGAGAAGCTCCACGGCCAAGACACGCAACAAATATCAATGCACCACGACACACTGCCCAAGGCCATCCCGGACTGCACTATGGTGTTTACGCCCTCCCGGCTTGGCTGGGAGGGTTCGTGCACCATCTAGGGCCCAGGATGGCCCTGGCCTGGCGTTGTGGTGGTGTGCGCGTCTATGTGTGTACATGTATATATATATACATGTATGTACACAACCGGGGCGTTTACCTAAGGAGCCCTATAGGGAACGCTTCCACAAGTTGAACTTCGCTGTCCCATCGAAAACCAAAAACCTAAGGCAATATGTGAAACAATGAAGGAACACGAGGCCCTTCCCCAACGAAACGGTTCCTTCTTCAGCGCCCCGAGGTTATACATCATACTGCGGGCGCACGGAGATCAAAACAAATGACGAACAATAAAGTACTGCGACAACTTACGACTGGAGCCCTGCACCCCATTTTCTGAATCATACTTCGAATCAGATTGGTTTGCGATGGTGAGCGGGCCCCAACGAAACAGCCCGTTGCGAACACCATGGGTACCCATGGATCTGCAGGGGATTCCTCTTGCGGGCAAGATGACAACACGACCCCCGATCCCTGCAATGTCAGCTTGTGCTCAACAAAAAAAGCGGGCCCCGTGATTAAACGGATAGTTCGTACGTTCGGGCGAATCGCGGGGTGGGGCGGCGCCCGAGAAATGAAAACACTGCGGCGGCGCCGGTGACTGGCGCCGAGACCCGGCCGACCGCAGGAGAGCGACAGGCGCGACGCAAGCGGCGCCAGATCAGCGGAGGGGCACAACAACGCCTCTGCTATAGCGGGGCGGTTGGGACAAAAACGCCACAGACAGGAAAGAAAGAGGAGGCGGGGACAAAGGGCGCCTAAGCTGGCGGGCGCTGCCGACGCAACAAGTAAGGGAAGGTGGGGGAGGAGCGGCAGAAGCGGGCAGAAAAGGTTCCTCATTTTCCCCCCTCCCATCCCACCACCAGAATGTGTGTCACGACGACGACGACGACGACGACGACGACCCGACGGCGACGGCGGACGACGACAACGACGACGGCGACGCACTGCGGATACCCCATGGGCCATGGGGGAGGTGTTGCGCAAGCCCGCTCTAATCGACAACGGCGACGACGACGAGGACGACGAGGACGACGACGGCAACGACGGCGATAACGCCGCCGACGACGACGACGCGACGCCGTTGACAACGACAACGCGACGACGACGACGGCGACGACAACGCACTGCGGCTACCCAGATGGGGGGGGTGCTGCGGAGGCCCGCTGCAGTCGACGACGACGACGACGATGACGACACGACGACAATGCGACGACGACGGCGACGGCGACGACGACGACGAACTGCGGATGCCCCATGGGGGGTGGGGCGGGGGGGGTGCTACGCAGGCCCGCTGCAGTCGACCGACGAAGACGACGACGACAACGAATGTGGCACGTCAGTAATCAGGCTGAAAAGGGAAGAACTCCGCTTCGGATGTATACGACCCCTTTTAAACAATTTGTATGCGGAAGGCACTCGTTGTGAGGCTGCCGTGCTGGGGAAACACGCTCCCCTCGGCAGCGCCCGCGACGACCCCCTGGCGCGCGCGCTTCACTGGCCATCGCTCGGACGTCAATTCCGTGTTTTTTCCGGTGTCGTGCGTGGTTTTTTTCGCCAATTGATCAAGGATGCTCCTCGATGGTCCTCGCCGAAGGAAAAATGCACACGTCAAACATGTTCCACGCCCCGCGGGGTCTGCTCATCAGCCCCAGGGGAGGAAGGGATTTGTTCACCACAGGCTGGCATTAGAGAGGCGTCCTAGATGGGGTCCGAGGTCCGAGGATCTCGCCGCACCGCCGATACACCGGCGATGCATCGCGACTACATCGGCGATACATCGGCCATGCACTGGCGACGCCGGCGATGTATCGGCGACGTCGGTGTGGAGAAAATTGGGGCCCACACCTCGCGCATGCATCGGCGATGCATCGGCGATGCATCGGCCATCCACTGGCGACGCCGGCGATGCATCGGCGACGTCGGCGTGGCGAACATTGGGCCCCACCCCGAGCCGCGTCGCTGATGCATCGGCCGCATGCGGTGCGATCCTCTGGCCCCATCCTGGCCATCGCTCGGACGTCCATTCCCTGTGTTTTTATCGGTTTCGTGCGTGGTTTTTTCGCCAAATGGTCGAGGATGATCCTCGAAGGTCCTCGCCGAGAAAAAAATGCACACGTCCGAGCGATGCCAGGCATCTACTCCGACCCCATCCAGGAGGCCTAGAGACACCAGAACCCGTAGCGCGAGCTCGCCGACGGCCGCCGCGGCGCGCCTTCGCGGCGCTGCGTGGCGAGGTTGCTGGACGGAACGTGGAGCGGCGGCAGGTCCTGCGGCGGGCACCATGGCACGCTGCCGAGGAGGCCGCGTGCCACGGTGCCCGCAGGAACGACGAGGAGGAGGACGAGGAGGAGGAGGAGGAGGACGACGACGACGACGGCGGCGACGGCGACGGCGACGGCGACGGCGGACGACGATGACGACGCACTGCCTCGCCATCGCTCGGACGTCCATTCCCTGTGTTTTTGTCGGCTTCGTGCGTGTTTTTTTCGCCAAGTGATCAAGGATGCTCCTCGATGGTCCTCGCCGAGAGAAACATGCACACGTCCGAGCGATGCCAAGCGAGGAGGAGGATGAGGAGGACGACGACGACGACCACGACGGCGGCGACGGCGACGGCGGACGACGATGACGACGCACTGCCTCGCCATCGCTCGGACGGCCATTCTCTGTGTTTATTTCCGGTTTCGTGCGTGGCTTTTCCGCCGCATGGTCAAGGATGCTCCTCGATGGTCCTCGCCGAGAGAAAAATGCACACGTCCGAGCGATGCCAAGCGAGGAGGAGGAGGAGGAGGACGACGACGACGACGGCGGCGACGGCGACGGCGGACGACGATGACGACGCACTGCGGATTCCCCATGGGCCATCGGGGGGTGCGGCGCAGCCCCACGACGACGACGACGACGACGACGACGACGACGGCGGCGCCGGCGGCGGCGAAGCGGGGTGCCGAGGTCACCATGGCCACCTGGCGCTGCATGTCTGTCTGAGCTCTGCAGTCGAAAGCTTGGACTTTAAAACCTGGCACGTCTTGCTCTTGTTCACAACCTCGACCCCCCTAAAATCCCGATCCAGCCCCGGGGACCGGCCTGTCATCATGACTGGTTTTGTGGCGGTTCCCGGGCCCGATGAGGGCTCGTTAGAGGCCGAAGACTGCCTAACACCTTCTGTCGCGATATCTGTTCGTGGCTCACGGTGGTCAAACAAAGGAGGCGTCGACCCCTATATCAGACTTCGTGGGGTTTTCGAATGGACCGAAAAATTCTGACCCTTCTCTGGGATATACGATAGGGGGGTGTCATTCTTCGATAAGGTTGCGTCCGAACAGCCCAATGAAGGTGTCTCCCCGAGTTCCCCTGCTTTTTTGGAACGGCTTGATCTCTCGTGGAGAGGTCGGCGTCTGGGACCGCTCTAGCGTTTCAACAAACTGTCAAAAACCTTCCGCCGCAAAACTCTGTCGCGCCTCGAGGTTAGGAACATGGAAAGCCGACACCAGCACTACCAGGGACCACCAGCGGGAGGAGCCAGGGAGGGGCCCTCCTTGAGGTGTGGTCCCCCCTCTCGCTCAAGACATCCCCTTTCCCCAGCCCGGAGAGGCATCGTGGACCTCCTCGCTGGAGGTGCCCCCCCTGGTAGTGTTGGTGTCGCTTCTCCTTCCCCACACGATGAAGGAGGGGAACTATACACAGATACCTATTATGGCCAGGCCCACCCTGAGCCCAGGATCGGTGCATACGCCCTCCTACCTTGTCCAGGAAAATATATGCACCGATCCTGGGTCAAGGATGGGCATTGCCTGGATCGGTGCATGTGCATAGTTTTAGGTCGGGCATGTCCCCCTACAGGGGTATTTCCGAGGAAGAATCCAACAATATACTCAAAACACAATACTCACAGCATGCGAGACATACGAATATAATCGACCCACATATTGTTTTTAACTATCTTCGAATCTTCTTGCTGTGGAGGGACAGGCTCGACTGAAGCCTAGTTCTCCTCGCCCGACCACGAGGTGGTCCGGGTCGGGCGCGCGCGGCGCGCGGGCGACGCGCGCGAGAGCGGTCCCCGCCGCGGGCTTTCCCCTGTGGCTGCGCGCGGGCGGGAGCGCGAGCGGCGCCGCGCGGGAGGCGGGCGCGCCTCCCCCGCGCGAGCCCGCGGGGCGCTGCGCCTCGCACGCCGACGTCGCCGCTAACCGCGCCGACGTCACCGATGCATCGCTGTGGGGCGAAGCTCGGGAGTCCAGAAATGGACCGACGGGTACACTGAAGGGGCCCCAGGACACACAAATAAATACACACAAATACAAAAGGATTCCACGTATTTTTACATAGTTTCTGGGTTTTCGTCTTCCCCCCCACTTCCCATATTTCCCAATATTTTCCTGGGGATCGACGATTAATTGTGTCTGTGTGTTCTTTCCCCTCCTGATACATGTCCACCGCCCCGGGCCCAGGCTCGGCGCACACGCAGCACTGAGCACCATTCCAGCCAGGCCAAGATTTTCTCCAGCCCGCGGCCCTATAGAGCTCCCGACGCCCTCCCGGGGGTGTGTGTTTCCATCCTGGATCCGACGTTGATGGCTCGGGGGAGGATCGGTGCGATCGAAACGGGCACAGAGAGAATGGGTACGGAGACCGCCACCAGCTCTCGTCCATTCGTCCATCTTGAACGGGCCGCCCTGCCCGCTCCTGAGGCCGAGCATCGTTCACACGATTCCTACCTTGGAGGCCTCCGAGACTGGGTCGGACAACCGCGCCGCATCACTGATGCATTAGCGACGTCTCCGGTGCATCGGCGAAGTCGACGTGGAAAAAAATATGTTTTCGCATCGAGTTGCATCGCTGATGCATCGGCGAAGCGGCGCGATCCTCCGACTCCATCCACTCCAAGCCCGTCTGGGAAGCCTGGACTATCCCCACTGGTGTGGCCTGGGCCCCACTGGCTGATTAAACCCCACTAGGCGGGGATGTAGGCTGTTCCTTTCGGGTGGGTTTCGAGGGGCCTGTGATGGTGGGCCTGGGATACCATGGCCCGATGGGGATCGGGATATGCCCGCCCTCGGACCTCTTGAGCCGCTACAGTCGCTCCATCTCCCCCCTTCCCCTTCACTCGAATAACACTCACAGGGAATGAGAACTGCAGCGAAACTTTCGGAACTCCGCGCGGATGTCTCGCATCGGCGCTGGACCACCCTGGCGGCCGGCGCTTCGAGCCGCCCCTGGCGCGCTCCGCGCGCCAGGGAAAGGGTTGTAGCGCGGATTCAAAAAATCCACGCGAATCGCGGACAGTTTTTGTTTCTGACGCGTTTAAGGGGTAACAAACTGTCCAGCCGCCCAGGGGCAGGCGTCCCCGACGGCGAAAAGGTTTATTTGATACCGTTCTTCACCCGCTGAATCGGGGCGTAACCACACCCAAATTGTAGCCGCCGGAAGTGAACCTGCCGGAGTCTACAAAGAATTATCCTGGCGAAGGACCCAACCATATGCAATTGTATGTACGTGCCGTCGTTGTGAGTATCGCCTTCGGTAGATCTCCTCATGGGGCCACAAATCGTGCGAAGGGTGTGCCGAGATGGGGCGGGACCGCTATGCGTGTAAGGTCGGCCCAAGTGGAGCGGCGTTGCCAAGCGAATAGGTGGAACTCCCGATGGGACCACGAAACGTGTGAGGGGTGTGCCGACATGGGGCGGCGGTGCCATGCGAACCCTCCCCCTGGGGCCTCAGGTGGAACTCCATGTGGGGCCACGAAACGTGTGAGGGTGTGCCGAAACAGAGACATGCGGAGGGCAGAAGCAGGGATGGGAGGAGGGGGGAAGGAGGGGGAGAGGAGAGGTGGGAGACGCGCAGCGCTGTCTCTTCAAAACGAGGACCCAACACAACAGGATGGTTGGGAATAAGGGCCTCCTTCTAGAGGCCACCTAGATGAAAACATAATAGATTGGGTCGGAGGATCGAGCCGTATCGCCGATGCATCGGCGATGCATCGGCGATACACCAGCGACGTCGGCGTGGAAAAAATCGGGCTCCGCATCGAGCTGTATATTTGACGCATCGGCGATGCGGCGCGATCCTCGGGCCCCATCTGGGCGGCCTCGATGTGTCCTCCTCTGACGTGCGGGCCACCCGCGGTTGGGGGGCGCGAGCGACGTCCTCCGCGAAGGGCGAGCCGTTGTCCTCCGCGCCAGCCTGGGCGATGCGCGGCGCGACGCGCGGCCAGCGGCAGCGTCAAGAACGAGGCTGTCGCCCACGAGGGCTCGAAATTCGATGATTGGTGGTGCTGATGCTGATGATGGTCATGGTAAGGATGATGATGCTGATTGTGATGGTGATGCTGATGCTGCTGCTGATGATGGTAACGATTATCATGATGGTAATGATAGGGCTGATGCTGATGATGATGACTACGATGCTGATTATGATGATGATACTGATGATGATAGTGAAGTGGATGATTGTGAAGATGATGGTCATGATCATCAACATAGACAGAAGTATCACCATCACCACCATCATCATCATCAGTATCCTCATTCACGCCCTCATCCTCTTCATCATCCTAATCCTCCCCTTCATCATGATCATCCGCATCATCGTTATCATCATCATCATCACCATCATCATCCGCATCCTCTTCAGCACGATTCTCATCAGCATAATCATCATCATCAGTATCATCAGAGTAAAAGCATGATCATTATCATCGTTATCGCCAACAGCATCATCACCATCACCATCATCAAAGCATAATCCAAAGCATCATCAGTACCATCTGCATCATCACCATCACCATCATCATCATCATTACCATCAGCAGAATCGTCAACATCAGCATAAGCATGATCAGCAGCATTATCAGCAGCATCATCATCATCATCATCACATCATCATCATCATCATCATCATCATCATCATCCTCTTCATCATCAGTATCAACCTTACCATCATCAACATCATCTTGTTCAGCATCACCATTACATCAGTATCACTATCACGGCCGATCGCGATGACGACAGTGTGCTCTCCAAGGTGCCTCGGCGAGGTGTTTATGCGTCTGTAGGGCGAGAGCGACGTCATGATGTTGGAGGCCTGGAAATGGGCACCAACACCAGCACAGGGGGTGGCCTCCACATGGGGAAGATGATCCTAGATTTCGGTGTTGGTGTTAATATTTCGGTCACCTTAGAAGCCGGAATATGACCACCATCACCTAGATCGGGATCGTCTTCCCTCGGTGGATGCACACCGCCGAGCTCGGTGTTGGTGTCAACCTCTAGGCCTGCGATGATGGCAAGTCATCGGGTTGTCCACTGTCACAGGCAGGCCCCTGGAGGTAGTCCCAGCTTGCCTCAGCAGGTCCCCCCGAGTAGCCCAGCGCCGCCTCCGGCGGGGCCGCTGGGGCGCTCTGCGCCCAAGGGCTCAGGTGTGGAGACCGCCCTGGCCTATTCGGGGGGGGGGGTTGAGGCCGGCTGGGACTCCTCGGGCTGCCTGTTGGGGACAGCCAGGACCACCTGTGGGGCCGTCTGTGGGCAACCCATAGCCTTACCGCGTCTGTGAATTCAGAAACCAGCTTCTCGACTTCAAAGACTAGGTTTCGGAACTCAAGAACTAGTTCGGAAATTCCAGAACTATGTTTTAAACCATTCACAAATACGTCATGGTTCGACTGGCTCTTGATACGTTCCATGGATCCTGGCGTATCTGGCGGCCCGCGCTGCTGGCGCCCGTGTGGGATAATAGGAAGTCTCGGGCATCACAAAAGTTTTGGGAGTAGTGGAAGTTCCCGTCGTGAAAAAATCGGGACGGACAATTGAAGGCCATTTTCGGTCTCGGGGGGCCCTCGCCGGGCCTCGGGGCCGTCAAAAAACGACTCGGGACGAAAAACGGGCCCCGGGGAAAGGGTCGGGACTTCCAGGAATAATATGAAGTTCTGGATGTCTTGGATAGAGGCCTCCTAGATGGGGTCGGAGCACATGGGGTCGGAGGATCGCACCGCATCGCCGACACATCGGCGATGCATCGGCGATGCATTGGCGATGCATCGGCGATGCACTGGCGATGCATCGTCGACGATGCATCGGCGACGTCGACGTGAAGCAACTCGGGCTGCACATCTAGCCGCATCGGCGATGCATCGGCGATGCGGCGCGATCTTCCGACCCCATCTACTCCGACCCCATCTAAGAGGCCTAGATTGGAACGTATCATTATCATGGCCACTTGCTCCTCTGAGCTTTGCTTATTGGCCGATGCCACCGCCGACGTCGTCATCGATTTAGGATCGAAATGTTTTGATGTTTGATGGGGGAAATGATGCCTCCAAGATGCCTCTCGATGCCACGGCTCGATTCCCTTCCAAATTTTTGCTTGAAAGAACCCGGGAAGGTCCAGGGCTGCCGCGGAGAAGATGAAGGGGCCCTGGAATTCCTTTTGGCGTCGTCCAACTCCCCGAAATACTTCCCTGGGGCTCGTCGTCAAAAACGAATCAAGATGAAAGGCTGGCTCCAGGTGGAAGGTACGAAGGCCAAGTTTTACGTCCCAAGGGGGACTTGGGACATGTCCGATTCGTAGGTCGGACGGGACGATCAAAGGTAGGAGTGGAGTAAAGAGAAGAAAGGGATGAGCGAGGTAATGCGAATAAAACGAAGAAACATTGATGGGATGAGTAGCAACAAGACGGGAAGGGTAAAGAGAGGCACAAGGTGGGGAACTAGCAAAAGATGTCGGACACAAAACACATGTCGGATCTCTGTGCTCCCCATCCCCCATCTCTCCCCTCCTCCAGCGAGGACGAGACTCGAGACCTGTGGAGGTGGTTTGTCCCTGGGGGTCCCGGGGAACCAGGAACCGTTCCCACCAGGACCTCCCCGTCGTCGCCGACGTCTTCGTCGTCGTCCATCGAAGATCGAGGTTTGAAAATCGATTGTTTTTTAGCGGGCGAAGAACAATAAAAAACAAAACAACTTGTCCGTCACCGGGGGCGATGCCCGGGGGCGATGCCCCAGGGCGGCCGAAAAGTTGATGCCTTGACGTGCCGCCGTAAGGGTGTAAACTTTCTAGCCGCCCTGGGGGAGGCACCCCCGACAACGAAAAAAAAACATGTTATACCGTTCTTCGCCCGTTGAGTTTTGGGACGCTTGTGAGGCCCTTCTGGGCATCCTGGGGCTTTCACGTCCCCGCGCCTGGACTCCCCTTCGAAATACAGGCCGCCAAAGCGCACCCCTGGAGAGGTACGGGAGGAGAAGGAGAGAAGGAGGAGGATGAAGAGGAGGAGGAGGAGGAGGAGGAGGAGGAGGAGGGAGGAGGGAGGAGGGAGGAGGAGGAGGAAGAGGAGGATGAGGAGGCGGAGGAGAAGGAGAAGGAGGAGGAGGAGGAGAAAGATCTGACGTCGGGAGGCCCAAGGCGGGGACACGGAGGGCGCTCCTGTGGCATTTGCCGGAACACGACAAGCAGCTTGCACAATCCTGTGTCCCTCTCTTTCTTGGGAGGGAGGCGGGAGAAAAAAAACGAGGCGGCCCAAAAATTCCATCAGTCCGGGGCGCCAGGGTAGAATGATCGAAGGTGTTTGTGGCACGCGGTTGGACATGACTGGCAACGTGTGGGCCGCTGCGTGTCCCCCTTTGTCCCGGGAGGGTGACGGAAGGAGGCAGAGGAACAGGGGGATCGCAGACGCAGTGTCCATGACACGCCGCCGTCTGTTGAGGGAGCACCACGCCTTCGGGCAACAGCGAGGGAGTCACACACTGCCGTACTCGGGTGGCCTGCTGAGGCCAACGGGGGCTACCAAGGGGAGGCTGTTTGCGCGCAACTCGAAGCCTTACCAGAAAGACGTCGTGATACGACTGGCTCAGGGTACGATCAACATTCTGGAATATCTAGCGGCCCTCACTTCGGCAGCCAGAGCAGTGGATTCGAAGAACTTGGGTGAGTCCCAGGCATCTTGAAACGCATTCTGTAATACACCCATTAGTAGTAGTAGTAGTAGTAGTAGTAGTAGTAGTAGTAGTAGTAGTAGAAGTAGTAGTAGTAGTAGTAGTAGTAGTAGTAGTAGTAGTAATAGTAAAGACAGTAGTAGTAGTAGTAGTAGTAGTAGTAGTAGTAGTAGTAGTAGTAATAGTAGTAGTCCTAGTAGTAGTAGTAGTAGTAGTAGTAGTAGTAGTAGTAGTAGTCGTAGTAGTAGTCGTAGTAGTAGTAGTAGTAGTAGTAGTAGTAGTAGTAGTAGTAGTAGTATTAGTAGTAGTAGTAGTAGCAGTAATAGTAGTAGTAGTAGTAGTAGTAGTAGTAGTAGTAGTAGTAGCCGTAGAAATGATAGTCGTAGGGGTACCCGTAGCAGTGATGATGCTAAACATAAGAATGTTAATCATAAAATCTGTAGCCGCACTCCCGCGATAGTAGTAGTAGTACAAGTAATCACACGAATCAAAGTTTTAATAGTGGTCGTAAAAATCATAGTCGTAGTGGTACTAGAAATCAAATATTAAATGCCGTCGTCGTAGTATAAGTAGTAGTAGTAGTCGTAGGGAAAGAAGAATTAACAATAGTAGTCGTCGTAGTAGTGATAGAGTAATACGTGTAGTCGCAGTCGCAGTCGTAGTCGCAACCCTACAAGTAGCAACAGGGGTGGCAGTCAGAGTAGTGGTGATGGTAGTACGGCGACTCGCCCTACTACTTCACATAGTAGTAGTACTACGACTGCTGGTAGTACAAGTTGTACTCGTAGTAGTAGTAGTAGTATTAGTAGTAGTAGTAGTAGTAGTAGTAGTAGTAGTAGTATCAGCGGTAGTAGTTGCGATATCAGCAGTCGATGCCGTCGTCGTCACTACCCTACGCCATCCTCCTACCCTCCGCCCCCATCCTTCTCCTCCTTTGAAATGACAGTACTTCTCGTAGCCGTTGCTGTTCTATGTACGAGTAACGGTAATAGTAATCGCAGACGGTTTGAAATAATAGCGACAACACCAGTGACCGGGATAATGCTGGGAATTGTACCAGCGATGTGAAGAGAACAAGTGAGCACTGATGTAGTAGTACTCGGGGTCGTCCGAGTAGTAGCTGTATTGGTGTCCGTAGTAGTAACTAAAGTAGTAGTCGTAGCAGGAGTAGTCGTAGCAGTGATTCTAGTAGTATAAGTAGTAGTAATATTGAGCATATGAGTACTCGCAGTAGTGCTACTAGTAGTAGCAGTAATA